TCCATTTTCCCACTTTGATGGACCAGGCTTGCATGCAGAAATCCTCAAGAAAGTGGGAACTAAGGGATAGAGGCTATTGAATGGCCATGCTAATAAGGGCATCAAGTAGCAAGTTAAGGAGATGGAAAGAGAAAGATTTTGACAGAATAAATAAGAGGATACAAAAATAGGCTTTGGATTCCAAGCATCTGGGTATTTTTTGAGGTCTTGGAGGAGAGAAAAAAATAAAGAATACTAAGAGGAGAAAGATAAACAACTGAATAGGAAGATTGATATTCAAGCAGAGTATATTCCAGGGCCTGGCTCTGGAGCTGAAAATGTACCACCATACCTGCCACATCCCCCCCACCAAATATATGCAAAACTGTAAAATTATATCAGATTCATTTTTGATTTTTTGACATAAGAGAAAAAATGACCCTTGTACCTTGGGGAGAAAGATGTGGAGGGAAATGCTTGCTGACCAGTTCTATATTATAGCTAAGTTCGTTTGACTCCATTCACCCAAAAATTATGACCATCAACATTCTTTGCTTGTTATGTCCTTATTTTTTCATAGTCTCCTCCTTCATGGAGACTGAACTATAAAAACTGTCAGAAGTATCATGGGGGAGGTGAGGGAAAAGAAAAGGACAAGGAGACAGTCTGTAGAATTTCCCTACAGCCCAGCAGATGGAGCCATAGGAACATCACCTTGCCTTCCAGACTTGGAAGAGCGAGTACAGGGCCGGGAAGGAACTTGAGTTTATCCTTACCATTTTGGTTGGTTGGTGGTGGTGGCTGTTGTTTTAGGTCAAACACTCACTCCATTCCTCAAGAACTGTTTCCCAACCCTGCCTTCTGCATGACATGAACAGTCTCCCTTCCAGGGCTATTCCCAGGCAGAAGCAGGTCTGAGTTTGAATCTTGTCTTCTCCACTTAATAGCCAAGTGACTCGAAACAAGTTACATATTTTCTTTAGGTCTGCATTTTCTCATCTGAAGAATGGAGGTAATAGTGCCTACAGCATATGGCTATTGTGGGAATTAATAAAATAATATACCTAAGCCCACAGAGCATTATGTTTGGCATAAAGGAGAATGTAATTCCCCTTCTTGTATCAACACAAAATGGCTAGGAAAAACCTAGAACATACAACATACCATAAGAAACCTCTTCTCTTGAACCCTGTCATCTCCAAGGGGAAAACCACTAACGAAACTAATGAAGGTGGATCTTCACCCCCACCCTATGACTGTGGAACACATAATCTAGTAAAATCATGATTCTCGGTTTTGGAAAAGATCTTTGTTGACAATCGACTCCAACTCTCACATTAATAATTCTCAAAAGGGAGAGAAGAGGTCAAAATGCACATTAAATATGCTTCTTGTTTTGGTGACACAAGCCAGGAAACAAAGCTCAAAACCACTTTTGTTGGTGATACTAAGGGATATTCATAAAATAAAACAATGAAAGGATTAAAAGTGTTCACACGATACATGAAAGTTTCTATGATTTTCCTGACAATAATCTCAATTACTGGTACTTTGCAAAGAGCTCATTGCATTTTCAGCCAATGCAGATGTTAAAAATTTCTTCCTTATGTCAAGTCAAAATTTACCTCACTTTTATGAGCACCCATGGGTCTCTTGTTCTGTTTCCTTTATCTACAACATCAGACATGCTGCCATTCACAGGCATGCACATTTTCTCTCTCATAAGAATTAGTGGTTCTAATGTCCCACGCTTCCCAGCCCTTCTATTCCCTCGGAGTTTCCTTGCTTGGCAAATCTTCCTGACACACAAATGCAGAAGAGGGCCAGGGTGGTAAACTATAACCCAGAGACCATGCCTAGCTCATTGCCAGTTTCGGGATGGCCCACAAGCTATGAATGTTTTTTACATTCTGAGGTGGTTGAAAAAAATTATGACATGTGAAGTTACATGAAATTTACTAGTCAGTGTGGATGAATAAGTTTTATTGAAGCACAGCCATTTTATTGAAGCATGAACATTTGTTTACATATCATCTATGGCTGCTTTCACACTACAAGAGCAGAGTTCAATAGTTGCAACTAAGACCATCTGGCCCACAAATCCTAATGTTTACTATCTGGTTTTACAGGAAAAGTTTGCTGACCTCCTAGTTTCAGAGAATACTGGCTCCAGGAGCACGTCTATCTGGGGAAGTCTTCACCCTCAGCCCTCGCTCCCCTCTTTGGCAACAGTGGGTTCCCGCAGGAAATTAGTCTTCGCTCAGCAAATTCCACCTCCCCTGCACTCCCACAGTCTCAGGCACACCTTTAAAAAGTTCATTCCTCTGATGATGCAGGATGACCTGACCCAAATCAGGTGTCCAGAGGAAACATGGACACAGTATGCTGATTTATCATTTTCCAATAATTGCTACCACTCCTCCCATAATCCTGATGGTCATGTTGCATAAGTTTTAAATCTACGTAACTTCACTCAGCTTCAGTGAAATTTGTGGTGTATGTTCACAATGGATAGAGTTCAGAGCAAGGACCTCAGAGACAGGCAGAAAGGCACTCATGGATTCCAATGCTAAGATTCAGTATATATTCAGGTGAAATCATGTCCTCTAAGATGACAATGGCAAGAAAGAGGGCAGACCCTCATTCTACTGTGAAAAAGGCGAAGTTGGGCCCTGGCCAGGTGGCTCAGTTGGTAAGAGGATCGTCCTATACACCAAAATGTTGCGGGTTTGATCCCCATTTTGGGCATGTACGATCCCAGGTCTGGGCACATATGAGAGGCAACCAATCAATGTTTCTCTCTCTCTCTCGTCCTCTCTTCCTTTCTCTTTCTCTAAAAGCAATGAAATAAAAAATGTCCCTGGATGAGGATTAAAAAAAAGTAGAAGTTGATTAATGAAGAGCATTGTTGTCATGACCCTCGCTCCTCTTTCAATTCAATTCAATTTGACAAACATTTATTGGGGACCTTTATGTGCCAAGCAATTTGCTGTGTCTCTAAATGACATCAGGATTAATGATGCCCATTCCCTATTGTCAAACTCACTGTCCAGAAATGATACAGGCATACAGACAAATGTATGTTTGTGTAAGGATATAAAGTAAATAATTAACAATAGCTATTTCTCGGTAGTAGGATTATAGGTATTTTCTTTTTCTTTTTTTTTTTTTTTTGCTCACCTATACTTTCCAATTTTTATATGAAACTAACTTCATAGTAAGATCATTTAAAAGATTATAACAGTATGATTGATATCACAATAGAATTATGAATAAGGTACACAATTATAACTCTCTCAAGTTATTCAAGACATTTCCTACAGGGTGTCTAATGTGGGTTTTGAATAAATAGGAGTCCACCAGGCAGATAATGAGAGAGGATATTTCAAGAAAAAACATGAAAAACTATAGTATTTTCAGGAAATGGAAGTACTTAATTCCTGATGGAGCATTAAGAGGAAGAGGGAGAGAAGGCACAGCCCAGATCATGAGGAGCCTTGAACACTATGCTAAAGACCATAGATTTTTTCCTAAGGTTATACAGTAGGTGAAAAGAAATGGTCACTAAAGTCTGGTATACAGAGTTAGGCAAAGAGACAATAGGATCTCTGCAGCCATTATCCATTTCAAGAGGTAACAGTATCATGGGCAACACCTTGGCTGGAATCTTGCATAAGAAAATTTAGCATTAAAAAGAAAAATTTCAACTGGATGACTTTTAAGCTTCCTTTTAAAAAATATTCCATGACTCTTTGACATTTGTTGCCTGATGTCCCTGTACACTCTCCACTCAACTTCAGTTAAAGTGTACTTAATTTGTTATCAATGCATTATGCTAGCTACTTCGCTGAATATGCAAGAGGTCTTTCCGCAGTGTTCAAAGACTCTGACAGGTGGAGCTGGTACTCGCCCAGATTTGGGAACTGCTAATGCAATCTCAGGTGAACATGTAAGGAAGTTAAGACAGTAAACACTAAGAGGTGGTGATGGAGGTGGAGCTGGGCTTGTTTGGGAGTGCATTAGGACATCTCAAAGAGAGCAGCTCCTCCCTAAGAAGGGGCCATTATTTCCTCTATAAATAGGCCACTATCCCCAACTAGCAGCACCCTGTAAGCTGCTTCAGTCTCCATCCTACTTGTTCCTCTGGTGAACTAGGTAAGTGAGCAGGAGTATTTAGAGCTATAAATGATGAGAATCTAGGATGTGCTCTATGGCTAAGGGGCACTGGATACCAGGCTTCTTTTTAATATACTTTGGAGAACTTTGGTATAAGTTTAATTTTATTAAGAAGAAAAATGAAGAGATAACTGGGACTAATAGCACCTCTTTTCTTTGGGGTGATTTCCTTAAAGATTATGGGCTCAAATTATCCAGTAGGCAGGTTGCCTCCTTTACTGTTGAGCTTTTTCTCTCTGTTGTATAATTGATAAAGCCTGAAGGTCAGTCCCTGCTTGGGAAGTGAAAAGAGAAGCTGAGTCTGACAGTAGCCACCCCCAGCTCCATATCACAAATGCCTGTTGTTGGCTTTGCCCACTTAGTCTACTTTCTCTGGCCTAGAAGTCTTGAGGGTCTATTTTAGACTTTCTCACCCCTTGGTTGTATAACAGCCTTGTCCCTCTGTAGTGTGATGGTTGAGACCTACAAAGAAACTGAGGAAAGGAACTGCTGGTCAGGAACACCCAGGATTTCTATAGCTCCAGAACACAACTCAGAAAATTATCCCTGGTAGAGGCAGAGAGACCAAAAAAGAAAGTCATTGCTTGTGTATTCATTCAGGAATGGAAATATAAGATATATATTCTGTTCCTAATTTCATCACTTTCTTGCTCTATGACTTAAGCCATTCAACCCTGGATTGGCTCTTGATTATAACAGGCTTAAATTAGTCATGCCTCATTAATTTTGAACAATTATTACAAATGATTGAAACTACTTATGTATTTAAGCAAGAAAAAGGAACAATAAGAGATGGGTCTCTCCTTGTTTTTTCCCCCTTTAGGTTAATTAAATCAACGAAAAAGATGTCTAAACTCCTACAAAGCATCGTCACTGTCATTGAAGTTTTCTACCAATATGCCACCCAGGATGAGGAGTGTGATATGTTGAACAGGGCAGAACTGAAAGAATTTTTGGAAAATGAATTTCATCAAATTATGAAGGTAAGAACTCCATATCAGGACTGAAAACAACTCAATTCCCTTCCCCTCCCTTTCTACCTTTTTCACATATGTAACTCCTAGAGGACTTTCCCTACTTGGTAATAAAGAACAGGGCTTGGTAAAGGATTGAAATAAGATCAAAAGTTGACTTGTAATAGTTTATATAATATGACTAAGGGAAGTAATCCTGAAAAAAAAACAGACAAAAATCCACAGGTTAAATAATGTCTTATGTGAATAATTCTTCTGGAACAGCAACAATGGTCCTTGGAAAAACTGAAAAGTACATGATAGTCCTCTTCTTCCCTTTCTTTGTCTTTCTTCAGCCCAAAACATACTGACCAAGGTCTATTTCTGAGATTCTGACACTGTAAAGCCTCTGAGTTGAGGAAATTAGCATCTCACTCCTAAATCATGAAAGGGGGTGACCACCACCTTATTAAAATATCAGTTCTGAAAATAAATATTTGGGAGCTTAGATCTAGCTATTGATCTTTAACTCATTAAACCCAGCTGCGTACTAAATATTTTTATTTGGATTCCTATCACTATCTTGAACTCAGTGTGCCAGATACAAAACTTATCTTCTTCCCCTCTAAAGTCTTCTGTAATTTGCCCAAAGCAGAAATTTGGCGCCATTCTTAACTTCCTCTCTCAGCATACTCCACCACCTTCTCACCTCCATCAAATTGATTAATAGTCTCTCAAAAGAGCCCATTTCTCCATCACTTTTGTTGTCCTCTGGTTCAAGCCACTTCTTACTTCCAATCTCATCATTACATACAAATCTAATCATTTTACACTCAGTTCAAAATCCTTCAACAGTTTCCAGCTCTTAAAGTCTAAAGTTACTCAATATGACTTAAAAACCATGATTTGCTTCATATTTCTCTCTCTACCAACATCTCTTGACTGTTCAGACTCTAAATTTAGCTATTCTAAATTTCTTGCACTTCTTTGTCTATGAGCTATGTTTTCTCTCACCTCCAGCTCTTTGTTCATATTGTGCCCTCTGCCTGGGTCCAACCCATCCTTCCAAAGACATCACTTACTCTCATTAACCTTCCTTGAACCCCAAGTGGTTCCCCTCTGGTATACCTACAGAAACATTATCACAATAAATTGTAATTTTAAGTTTGTGTGTCTGGCTCACTAAACTTTAAGCTCCATTTTGTCAAGAACCAACTCGTTCACTGCACCTAACTCAATGCTAGGCAGATAGTAGGTGCACAATAAATCTTTGCTGAATGAGTAAATGAATTAATGAGTTAATCAATTGAGCTGGACAAATTTTTTTTAAGTTATACATAATTAATATAGGTATCCAAGTTGTTATTTATAAATTAGCTAATCATTCATATCTGACCCATTCCTTACAAAAAATAATATTCCAGAATATTACAGTTGCATATTCTTCTAGCTTTCTCACTTTGTTATTCATTCCATATTCCCTTCTCTCTTTGTGCTCAGGATAGGGCAGTCAGCCTAAAGGACTATGTGGTTGGACTCTACCTATGTAAGCCAAACATTCATGCTTCTACAGCCCTCCTTCAATTGGTTATCTGCATGTGTGGTTCATACTGACAGAGGTGCCCTTGTACCTTGTTCCTATACAGAATCCAGATGATCCAGACACTGTAGATATAATCATGCAAAGTTTGGATCGAGACCATAACAAGAAAATGGATTTTACTGAGTATCTTCTGATGATATTCCAGCTGGCTCAAGCTTGTAATAAAATCATTGGGAAAGATTACTGCCAAGCTTCAGGGTCAAAGCAAAAAGGTCACAGCCACCAGCACCAAGAGGAACATAGTGAAACAGAAGAGGAAAACAACAAGCAAGAATCATCTTCCAGCCATTCAAAGAGGGGTACAGGAGAGAATGATTCCTATTCTAGGGGTTCCAGAAGAAACATTAAACACAGGTCTCAATCCAGCTCCAAAAAAACAGGGCATCGAGGAGGTTTGTCTAGTTTAGGGCACAGGCAAAACTCTGGCGAAGGCCACTTCAAAGATAATAAGAAAAATAAGTATGGCTCTCATCAGCAAGAAAGGTCTGAAAGTGAAGAATATTCTCATTCAAGTAACTATAGAAAAAGATTACACTCAGCAAATCAGTCAGGTGGTTGTGGAGAACAAGGGCATGTTTGCCACTCAGATGATCAGTCTTTCAGTTCTGACCAATACTGCTCTGACTCAGACAAATCTTTAGGAAACAGCCAACATAAGAAGAAATCAAGCCAGCATCACGGATTCAGCTCAGGGAGTCATGGAAGACAAGATCACCAGTCAAATTCAAATGTGCCCACTGGTTATGGTCATGAGTCTGGCTCAGGTCAGCTTTCTCAACGGAAACGGCATGAATCAAATGCAGGATCTCAATCAGAAAATTGTGAAGAACAAGGATATTGTTCCAGTTCAAGTGACGTATCCAGTTTTGGGTCATGCTCAGGTCAATCCTCTACTCAAAGACGTGGATCCAACTCAAGCAGTCGGTCAGGGAGCTGTGAAAGACAAAAGCATGGCTCTGGATCAGGGCAATCTTCTAATTATGGGAAATATGGATCTGGATCTAATCAATCTTCTAGTCAGAGATACCATGGGTCTCGTTCAGAATCCAGTTTAGGTGAATCATCAAGCTGTGGACATGGATCTGGATCAGGTCAGTCTTCTGGCTTTGGACAACACAGTACTTCTTCAGGACAGGCTTCCAGCTATGGACATCATGAAACTAGCTCAGGTCAGTCTTCCAGCTATGGTCAACATGGGTCTGGCTCAAGTCAGATTCCTAGCCACAGCCGACATGGGTCTGGCTCTGGTCAGTCTTCTAGCTGTGGCCAACAGGGATCAGGATCAGGCCAGTCTTCTAGCTTTGAACAACATGGGACTGGAGCAGGTCAATCCTCTGGCTATGGACAACATAGTTCTGGCTCAGGTCAATCTTCTAGCCATAGCCAACATGGGTTTCAATCAGGTCAGTCCTCTGGCTATGGACAACATAGTTCTGGCTCAGGTCAATCTTCTAGCCATAGCCAACATGGGTTTCAATCAGGTCAGTCCTCTGGCCATGGACAACATAGTTCTGGCTCAGGTCAATCTTCTAGCCATAGCCAACATGGGTTTCAATCAGGTCAGTCCTCTGGCTATGGACAACATAGTTCTGGCTCAGGTCAATCTTCTAGCCATAGCCAACATGGGTTTCAATCAGGTCAATCCTCCGGCTATGGACAACATAGGTCTGGCTCAGGTCAGTCTTCTGGCATTGGGCAACATGGGTCTAGCTTAGGTCAATCCTCTACTCATGGACAACATAGTTCTTCTTCAGGCCAATCATCAAGCTATGGACATCATGAAACTAGCTCAGGTCAGTCTTCCAGCTACGGTCAACATGGGTCTGGCTCAAGTCAGTTTCCTAGTCACAGCCGACATGGGTCTGGCTCGGGCCAATCTTCTTGCTATGGCCAACATGGATCAGGATCAGGTCATTCTTCTGGCATTGGGCAACATGGGTCTGGAGCAGGTCAATCCTCTACTCGTGGGCAACATAGTTCTTCTTCAGGGCAGTCATCAAGCTATGGACATCATGAAACTAGATCAGGTCAGTCTTCCAGCTACAGTCAACATGGGTCTGGCTCAAGTCAGTTTCCTAGTCACAGCCGACATGGGTCTGGCTCGGGCCAATCTTCTAGCTATGGCCAACATGGATCAGGATCAGGTCAGTCTTCTGGCATTGAGCAACATGGGTCTGGAGCAGGTCAATCCTCTACTCGTGGGCAACACAGTTCTACTTCAGGGCAGTCATCAAGCTATGGACATCATGAAACTAGCTCAGGTCGGTCTTCCAGCTATGGTCAGCATGGGTCTGGCTCACGTCAGATTCCTAGCCACAGCCGACATGGGTCTGGTTCCGGTCAGTCTTCTAGCTGTGGTCAACATGAATCAGGATCAGGCCAGTCTTCTAGCTTTGAACAACATGGGTCTGGAGCAGGTCAATCCTCTGGCTACGGACAACACAGTTCTGGCTCAAGTCAATCTTCTAGCCATAGCCAACATGGTTCTCAATCAGGTCAGTCCTCTGGCTATGGACGACATGGGTCTGGAGCAGGTCAATCCTCTGGCTATGGAAAACATGGGTCTGGAGCAGATCAGTCTTCTGGCATTGGGCAACATGGGTCCAGAGCAGGCCAATCCTCTACTCATGAACAACATAGTTCTACTTCAGGTCAGTCATCAAGCTATGGACATCACGAAACCAGCTCAGGTCAGTCTTCCAGCTATGGACAACATGGGTCTGGCTCAAGTGAGATTCCTAGCCACAGCCAACAGGGGTCTGGCTCAGGTCAGTCATCTAGCTATGGCCAACATAGATCAGGATCAGGCCAGTCTTCTGGCATTGGGCAACACGGGTCTGGCTTAGATAAATCCTCTACTCATGGACAACATAGTTCTTCTTCAGGACAGACTTCCAGCTATGGTCAACATGGGTCTGGCTCAAATCAGACTCCTAGTCGCAGCCGACATGGGTCTGGCTCGGGCCAGTCTTCTAGCTATGGCCAACATGGATCAGGATCAGGTCAGTCTTCTGGTATTGGGCAACATGGGTCTGAAGCAGGACAATCCTCTGGCTACGGACAACATAGGTCTGGCTCAAGTCAATCTTCTAGCCATAGCCAACATGGGTCTCAATCAGGTCAGTCCTCTGGCTATGGACAACATGGGTCTGGAGCAGGTCAATCCTCCGGCTATGGACAACATAGGTCTGGCTCAGGTCAGTCTTCCAGCTATGGTCAACATGGGTCTGGCTCAAGTCAGTTTCCTAGCCACAGCCGACAGGGATCTGGCTCAGGTCAGTCTTCTAGCTATGGCCAACATAGATCAGGATCAGGCCAGTCTTCTAGCTATGAGCAACATGGGTCTGAAGCAGGTCAATCCTCCAGCTATGGACAACATAGGTCTGGCTCAGGTCAGTCTTCTGGCATTGGGCAACATGGGTCTGGAATAGGTCAATCCTCCAGCTATGGACAACATACATCTGGCTCAGGTCAGTCTTCTGGCTTTGGGCAACATGGGTCTAGCATAGGTCAATCCTCTACTCATGGACAACATAGTTCTACCTCAGGGCAGTCATCAAGCTATGGACATCATGAAACTAGCTCAGGTCAGTCTTCCAGGTATGGCCAACACGGATCTGACTCAAGTCAGTTTCCTAGCCACAGCCAACATGGGTCTGGCTCAGGTCAGTCTTCTAGCTATGGCCAACATGGATCAGGATCAGGCCAGTCTTCTAGCTATGAACAACATGGGTCTGGAGCAGGTCAATCTTCTGGCTATGGCCAACATGAGTCTGTCTCAGGTCAGCCTTCTGCCTTTGGTCAGAATGCATGTGGTTCAGGTCAGTCATCAAGCTCTAGTGAGCATGAATCTAAATATGGTCAATCCTCTAGCTATGGACATCACGGTTCTGTTTCAGGACAGTCATCAAACTGTGGTCAGCATGCATCTGGATCAAGTGAGTCGTCCAGCTGTGGCCAACATAGATCTGCCTCTCACCATAGACAGCAAGGGTCTGGCTCAGGTCAGTGTTCTAGCTCTGAACAATATGAGTCTGGCTCAGGTCACTCATCTAGCTCTGAACAGTGTGGTTTTGGATCTGGTCAGTATTCTGGCAATGAACAATATGGGTCTGGCTCAGGTCACTCATCTAGCTCTGGACAGTGTGGCTTTGGATCTGGTCAGTATTCTGGCAATGAACAATATGGGTCTGGCTCATGTCACTCACCCAGCTCTGGACAATGTGGTTTTGGATCTGGTCAGTATTCTGGCAATGAACAATATGGGTCTGGCTCATGTTGCTCATCTAGCTCTGGACAATGTGGTTTTGGATCTGGTCAGTATTCTGGCAATGAACAATATGGGTCTGGCTCAGGTCACTCATCTAGCTCTGGACAGTGTGGTTTTGGATCTGGTCAGTATTCTGGCAATGAACAATATGGGTCTGGCTCATGTCACTCACCCAGCTCTGGACAATGTGGTTTTGGATCTGGTCAGTATTCTGGCACTAAACAAAGTGGGTCTGGCTCATGTTGCTCATCTAGCTCTGGACAATGTGGTTTTAGATCTGGCTGCTGTTCTAGCTATGAGCAACCTGAATCACAAGGGAGATGTGGGTCAATTTCAAGTGGTACTTATGATGAGTACAGTAAACCCAAAACAGGTTCTACTCCCAATCGATCAAGAAGAAACAGCCAGGAATGGTCAGGGTACAACCAAAAAGAAAGTAGTGGTGAGTCTGATGGATGTGAGAGCATTCATGGACAAACACAAGTAGAACGCTCATCAAGTTGTGGCATTAGACAATTTACACCCTCCTATGGACAGTCTAGATCCAACACAATCAATACATTGTTAATTTGCAAGGAAGATAATAGACAAGACAGCCATTATTATCAGAGAGAAGGAAATAATTGTGGAGGTGAAAGCACTGACTCAAGTTTGCACAGTATCCATAGCAGCACTCCACTTTATGAATATGTCCAACAGCAGAGATATTAATTCTGGTGATGAATAATAAATAGAAGTAAAATTAACTTAACTAGCAATTTAATAAATAAGAAACTATAACAATTATAAAGCTTCTTTATAAAAGTGGATGCATTTGTTTCTTTTTCACTTAACTGTATTCCTTGTTACTGGATTCCTTCCAGAGAATGTAAAGTATGTGGGTTACATTGTTAGGATATGCTGAGTTGAATAAATAATGTATTGGACTAAATTTGAAAAAATAATACAAAGCATTTATGGAAATTGGGGTTTAGCTGAGGTGTCTTTTTAAGAGCTCCTTATTTATTATTTATGCCACGCTAAGCCTTCATCTCTAAAAAGCAAAAAATTAGAAATGCATTACCAGTTCTGGAGCTAAAGCTTCTCTTACAGCAATGTGAACTATAATTTTTGGTGTGTCCCACATTGGGTGTAACAGAAAGACCCTAAAAACAAAGATGTAATATTGGAAGTTTCTTAAGTTTATCAAACCTCCAAATCCTTATTCTTGGGTGCATCTTTATTCAGTAAGCTACAGAGGCATTAAAGAGTGGCATCAGGTACTTCTTTCTCCCAAGCCAATAAGAGAGAGCATTATGTCTTAAACAGCTGGGATGGACAAGTTCAGCATTAATAGATTCAAATGAGGGCTCTAACTTTGTTTCACCAAGAAAGATGTTGCCTCCTACTCCTAAGAATTTGCTCCAGGTTTAAAAAAAAAAAAAAAAAAAAAAACTTTGGAAAAGCAATAGCATGAAAATACAATGGCTCTAACCTATTTCTATAGATCATTTAGCCTTTCCACATAGGAATATATCCTTTATACTCAGAGAGAAAGAAAGACTATCTGCTACTGCTATATAATTCCTTGGTTTGACTATAACATACTTGTTTCAAATAACTGGATTGCATTAAAATTAACAATAAATAATGGTGATCAAACACTGCTGTGTCATTTCTGCTTCATTTCACTCTCACACATAGGTGGTCAGACTAGAAACTCACTCAAATAGCTATTTTCCAAGGTCCTATCCTTCACAAACAACTCAGATTTCATAAGAAATTTTTAAAACTCTGTAAGAAGAAAAACAACTCAATTTAAAAATGAGCAAAAGATTTGAATGGACACTTCACCAAAAAAGATAAATGAATGGCCAATAAGCACAGGAAAAGATGTTCAATATCATCAGTAATCAAGGAAATGCAAACTAAAACATAATGAGATACCATTACACACCCAGTAGAATGACAAAAATTAAAAATACTGGCAACACCAAGTGTTGGTATTGCTGGTAAGAAAGTAAAATTATACAATCACTTTGGAAAATAGTATGGCAATTCCTTATAAAATTAAATATACTTGACTATATGACCCAACAATTTTATTCCTAAGTGAAATGAAAATATATGCCCACATAAAGATTTTTACATAAATGTTCATAGCAGCTTCAATTATAGTAGCCCAAAACTTGATACAATCCAAATAACCACCAACTGATAAACAAATTGTGGTATAGTATTACAATGAAACATTAACAACAACAACAAAGAGACTGATGCAAATGACATGGCTGAATCTCCAAAACATTATATTGACCAAAAAAACACATATCTATATGATTTTATTTATATAAAACTTACTAAAGACAAATATAAAAATAGAAAGTAGATAAGTGATTGAGTGGGGCTAGGAGTAGAACTTATAAACTTATGAATTGGCTGGAAAGAAAAACATAAGGGAACAGTCTAGGTTAATGGAAATATTCTTTTTTTAAATTTACATTTTTTAGTTTTTATTTCTTAATGTTTTAGAGAGGAAGCGAGAGAAAGAGAAAATCAATTTGTTCCACTTATTTACTTATTCATTGGTTGATTCTTGTATGTGCCTTGACTGGAGATCAAGCCTGCAACCTTGGAATATTGGGATGACGCTCTAACTAACTGAGCTACCCTGACAGGGCTTTACATACCTCTTACATCTTTCATTATTCTTTAACTTTTCATTAGTCTTTGCAACAAATCTTTCAATGAAGCTATTTTGGAATTTCTAAGACTTTTGTAGGTTTTTCATGCCAATTAAAATAAGTATCTCATTCTGTTTGTTTGATTTGGGAGCCCTTGATTTTAAGTATACTCCTTATCTTTTTGGAATGTTTCTTCTAATGGCTGTGATCTCCCTAATGACTGGCAGCAATTTGGTAGGACACTAGCTGCAAATGGCTTTTGGTGCAATGGTTACAAAGCCAAGCTCTCAGGACAAGGTAAGATTTTTGCCACTTTTGTAAATATTTATAGTTTCCTGGACCATAGCTCTTAAGTAAATATGCTGGTAGCTGTCATGCTTAATTTTTCATTTTTAATTTATTTGAGGTTTCCATTTTATTTTATTTTACTTATTTTAAAAAATGTATTGGGGTTATATGGGTTAATAAAACCATACAGGTTTTATACTTTAATTTTTAATTGAAGTATAATTGACTTACAATATTATATTAGTTTCAGGTGCACAACCTAGTGACCCAATATTTATATACACAATGAAATGATCAGCCTAAATCTAGTTTCCTTCTGTTACCTTACAAAGTTATTACAGTCTTATTAACTACATTCTCTATGTTTATTCATTATTTCCCTGTGACTCATTCTACAACTAGAAGTTTATATCCCGTTATCCCATTCACCTATTTTGCCTGTCTCCCTACTCCTGTCTTTCTGGCAACCAAGTTTGTTCTCTATATCTATGAAATCTGTTTCTGTTTTGTTTTTTTTGTTTGTTTTGTTTTTTTAGATTCACATATAGGTGAAATCATATGATATTTGTCTTTCTCTGTCTGATTTATTTCACTTAGCATAATATTCTCGATTCATCCAGTCACAAACAGCAAGATTTCATTCTTTTTATTGCTAATATTCCATAGTGTGTGTGTGTGTGTGTGAGAGAGAGAGAGAGAGAGAGAGAGAGAGAGAGAGAGAGAGAATATCACATCTTCTTTATCCATTCATCTATCAGTGGACACTTAGGTTGTTTCCATATCTTGACTATTGTAAATAATGCTGCAATGAACATACAGATGCATGTGTCTTTTTTGAATTAGCGTTTTTGTTTTCTTTGGGTAAATATCCAGATGTGAGATGCTGGGTTGTATGCTAGTTCTATTTTAAATTTTTTGAGAAACCTCCATACTGTTTTTCATAGTGGCTGCACCAGTTTACATTTCCACCAACAGTGCACAAGACTTCCCTTTTCTCCTCATCCTCGCCAACACTTGTTATTTTTTGTTTTTTCCATAACAGCCATTCTGACAGGTGTGAGGTAGCATCTCACTGTGGTTTTGATTTGCATTTCCCTCATGATTAATTATGCTGAGTACCTTTTCATGTACCTGTTGGCCATCTCTATGTTTTCTTTGGAAAAGGGTCTGTTCATACCCTCTGCCTATTTTTTAATCAGATTGCATTTTTTGATATTTAGTTATATGAGTTCTTTGGCACATTGGGATGATGCTCTAACCCAGCAGTCCCCAACCTTTCTGGCACCAAGGACTGGATTTTCCACGGGTGGGGATTGGGGACCCCTGTTCTAACTATCTGAGCTACCCAGTGAGGACTGATGGAATTATTCTAAACAGAGATAAATTTTTGTCAAAACTCATACTTAATTGACAAAACTGAATACTTAAAATTGTTGTATTTTATCATATATAATTATACCTCAATAGAGTTGGTTTTCTTTAGAGTCCCTACAGAGACTTTTTTGAAGCTTGACACACCAATTTTAAAATTTATATAGAAGAGCTAAGAATCAAAAATGGCCAAGACAATTTTTAAGATAAATAAGGAGGAGGAAAGTCATTTTACCAGGTATCAAAATATTATTACAAAGTAACATTATTTAAGACAGTGTGGAATTGTTGTAAAGATAGACATATAGAGCAACAGAACATCCAGAAACAGACCCATGCATACTTGCTGTATCACAGCAATGACTCTGCATATCAGTGAAAGACAGACCTTCCAATAAATTGTGCCAAGATAATCAGTTTTCCGTATTAAAAAATTATATCTCCACTTCATATCATATGCAAAATCAATTCTAAGTTAAAGACCTAAGTGTGATAAGCCAATTTTTTAAACAAATTTAAAGAAAATAAAGGAAAATATCTTTATGACTTCAAAGAATGAATTTCTTAGACAACCACAAAGAAAAGGTTCATCAACTTTATTTACCACCATTAAATTTTAAATGCCTGTAAGTCAAAAGACACTCTCAAAAAGTTAAAAAGAGAAGCCACATACTAGGATAAAACTTCTGCAGAGGTTATAAACAACTGATTAATAGCCCAATTGCACAAAGAACTTATAAATATCAAATTAGGAAATAACAACAAAAGAAAATTCACCCAAATAGAAATCTAAATAGGCAACTGGCATTTTTAAAACAATGCTCAGGGAAACAGAAAATGAAAACAATTAAGTACCATGTCATACTCATCAGATAAGAAAAAACTAAATTCTATCAATATTCAGTATTGGGGAGGATAAAGCAATGAAAGTCTAAATTGGTAACCATTTAGGAAGCAATTTTACAACCACATAAGAGTGAGGAAAGTGCTACAAACAACTTAGAAGTTCAACAGAAGAATGAATAGTGATACAGTCAAATACTATAATGCTATGAAGCCTTTAAAATTAATGAACTAAAGGAAGATTAGATATAGATCACATAGGCATAGATATCTATCT